CAATGGCGTCTAGCGTTTGCCTAATTTGGTGTTAGCGCCGTTGCCGTGCACGAATCCCCAGCCGGTCTTCGGCAGAACTTCTTTCACACCACTCGTCTCTAACAGCAACAGCGCCCACCAGCTCACCTCCATAATGAGGCTGCCAAAACCAACCACAAAGCAGCTCAATTCTGGTGCGCGCGTGCCTACTCCAACGACGCATCCGTCCTCCGTCCCCGCTCGCAGCGGATTTGGGAAGAAAAATGCCCAAAGGCACCAAAGGTTGCGTACTTTCGACGATAGACCGCCGCCGTCAAGTCTGGATAGCCAGAAACAAGAACACTTTGACAATGCATCATTCCAGCTGTATTTCGAAGAACGACTGGAAGAGCTAGGAGAAGACCTCAAAGCTTTGACACGCAACTCTCCATACTCACTGCTTGCAAGCTTTTACCGCGACACTAATCCCCTTTGGAACTATAATTGGAAAGATTTGCCCGAAAAGCCTTGGATTTCGGGAACGACATCCGGGGAGACAACTCGTTCTTTATGCCGAGGCCAGTATCACAAGATGGTAAAGGATAAATATCTGCATAGTCGTAGAGACATCGAACAGAAATGCCCTAAGCTACACAGATACCTGGTAGAGTATCATGGCAGTACACGGCAAGCTATCCTTAGCACATTACCACTACGGATAGCTACGGGTGACGCATTGACGACTGCACACCTCCTCGCACACCGGAAATTTGTGAAACGAGCTCTAGACTTGCGCACGACGGCCAAGAACATTTTTCATACTGCGATGTTCATGAACAAGATGCTCAAAGAACTGGAGAATAATCGCGTAGTATCGGCAGCATCACTATTTGACATGGACTACTTCCAGATCAAGGTACAATTTCATTGTAAGAGGGAAAGCCAACGAGAAGCTTTGCGAAATGTGCGTAGGTCAACGCAACATGTACGGTCGACTGTCGAGCCATCCATTTCAGACTCTGGACTTGGCCTGTGGAAACGTATCTCTGCCTTGCCATCACGGTTTCATGGTAGCCATTGGCTTCAGTTGATTCTCAATCCTCGGGAGACTCAAACATCTCAGCCAAGGCACAACTCCGCTTCGACAGAATACAACCGAGCTGGTGCGGCTCGGGTCAAGCCTATTCACCATTTCTACGACCATTTTGCTTTCCTTGACAAGCATTCTCAATTATGGCCAGCTTCTATTCTACGTCTCATGCATTACGAGATGAACAAGATGTTGGGCCGACTGTATGGGCAACGAATACCGAATTTCTTAAACGAACATTATAGGATGACGAAGGCGAGGGCTCATCAAATACCTGTCCCTGTTGTTCACGCGCGTGTCGCGCACTGGATTACAATACGGAAGTTGCAGGCCCAGATTAACATGACTGCAAAGGAGCTGGAGGATATGGTTGACGACCTCTTCGACTTTCAAATCTTCCAATATACCAACACATCTGTCCGGGTATCGCAGGGTTTGATTGACAAGAGTCGTGCTATAGGAATGGAGATGCTGGAACGCGAAGAATCGTGAAGACACTAGGTACATGGAGAAGGCTGCGATCCGAGTTTAACAGGCGGTTTGAGCGCTACAAGAAAGATGTCAAATTTCTACAAATCAGCACATGCATCAACTCCATCTGCTAGAACGAGAACCGCCCTCGTCAGCGTACGTTCTACCGAAGTACTATACACTGTCATGTCGCAGTCTCACCTGGGCATACTAGAGCCCTATATCCTGCGTAGATTCTTGTTCTAGGGCCGCCTACCAAGACATACACATCATTGAGACCGTCATAGCACGTATCAAATGTGACAGTCCATGCCACCTCATGACCGTTGGCGCGTGGTAAGTGTCAAAGACGACTGATCAGAAACGACATGGCCGGATCTTACCGAGATCGTGGGGCACAATCGCATGTACCTGTACTAGCGCAAGCGTATCCACAAAGCTGGCGTTCTCTCCTCATTATATGTCACTGTACCGCACCATATCCATGGACGTGAAGAATGACATACGGAGAGGAGCACGCGCTGTGCCGATGCGAACTGTAAGCAGTGCGGCTACGCGGCACGCCACCAATTTGCTAACCAGCCTCTTGCAGAATACATCGACATTTGAAATCATTAATAAGAACAACAGGAGCGAAAGTGACGTTCGAGGTGCACCACCAGGAGGGCTAGATCCGAGGCTTGCCGTGCGATTAAACGTTCTTCCAGTGGTCCCGATGTTTCTAGCGTGATGACGTCACCCGCAGCTGTCGCGCTACATCTATGATATGGAGTGTATCAGCATCAAGCATCAGAAGGGACCCCAAACAACTTGAGCACTTACTCAAAATCTCAATCATTTCAATCATGGCACCTAAGATCTTCCTGTATGTATATACATTGCAAAGCTGATCCACCTTACTGACGCTTCTTTCCATGCAGCACCGGCGCGACCGGGTACATTGGAGGCGACACCCTCTTTGCGCTGTATGACAAGCACTCTGATTACGAGATTGCGGCTCTTGTGCGGACAGGTACCTATCACCCTCCTCATGATGAATGGGGCATTATGTTGACATTGGTGAAGAGGAAAAAGCAAAGACTGTCACCGAAGCGTTCCCCAAGGTGCGGATCGTCATCGGTGGCTTGGACGACTCCAAAACTCTGGAAGAAGAGGCAGCAAAGGCAGATGTAGTCATTCGTGAGTCACCCATAACCTCCTCAGCCATAGAGTCAACACTAACAATCGCAGACACCGCAGATGCATCCGACCACGAAGGCGCCGCAAAGGCCATCGCAAAGGGCCTAGCATCCGGCCACTCCAAAGAAAAGCCCGGCTTCTGGCTGCACACCGGCGGCACCGGCATTCTCTGCTGGGAAACCATGCGTGACGACAACAAGCTAGGCGAATGGTCAGAACGCGAATACAACGACTGGACCGCCGTACAAGACCTAACCGGCCTACCCAAAGACGCCTTCCACAAGAACGTCGACGACCTCGTACTTTCGGCCGGATCCGAATCAGTCAAGACAGCTATCCTCTGTCCACCAACTATCTACGGACGCGGACGAGGGCCGTCTAACACCAGGAGTCGACAAGCGTATGAACTTGCGCACTTGATCTTGACCGGCGAATACATCCCCATCATCGGCCAAGGAAAAGCACGCTGGAACAACGTCCACGTCTCCGACCTCGCACAGCTCTTCGTTCTACTCACTGAAGCCGCGGTGAACAACAACACCGACGCTAAGCTCTGGAACGAACAGGGTTACTACCTCGTTGAGAACGGTGAGCATCTCTGGGCTGATCTTGCGCGTCTCATGGGCAAGAAGGCAACTGAGCTGGGCCTTGTTAGCAAGAAAGAGTTGAAAGAGCAACAGCTGGGTAAGGATAAGGCGATTGAGCAGGCGGGTTTCGAGGCTGTGAGTTGGGGGTTCAACAGTAGGGGTAAGGCGGAGAGGGCGAAGAAGTTGGTGGGCTGGCAGCCCAAGGGACCGAGTATTGAGGATACTGTGGAGGAGATATTGAAGGATGAGAAGGGGAGGTTGGAGAAGAAATGAGAGGCGTAGTAGCTTATCGATGTAGATTAATCCTTATCTGGCAAAGCATCAATATGCATGCAATCACGGCTCAGTGAGGCGAACTTCCGCATATCTTGGCCGCATTGATAGGATGTTCAGGCTGCGCCACACAATCTTCAGGCCTGATGTTTCACACGCCAGGCAGCAGCATTTGCACCTGATTGCAGGATTGGGTACCAAGATTACAAGGTACAACAGTATCCCGTTTGATTTTACGTAGAATACTAGCAAACACGAGCCCTTTTTCTACTTACTGAATTTGTTGAGGCCAGCAACTCCCTCGATTGACAAACTCTACCAATATGGCGAGCATTGAAAGCCGCCCCCTTGGGCAGCAGGCTCTTCGTGGCTTTGGCATCTTCCAAGCCATCGTTTCGATACCCACGATGGTCATCTTGGGGTTCTTCGCATGGGACCAGATGGTATTTGCCTATGAAGAGAACTATTACTACTTCTTGTGAGCATGGCCTCTTGCCCCGGATCATATCACAGCATGCTTCTCGTGCGCAGATAGGCTAATGTTTACAGCGCATCTTCCATAACGGCGCTCATGTCCGCCGGCATTGTGTTCATCGTGTACGTCCAGCGCAAGGCCATTGCGACACCGTTCCAGACGTTCATGTTTGAGATCGCCAAGTCGGTCCTTGCTACAGGACTATGGCTTTGGCTTATACTGGACTCTGCTTTTGGCCCACATCGAGGTTACTATACAGAACCGGAAGTTGTTAGGAGACGGGTCCAGCGTGATGCTCTCGCTAGCCTCTTGTTGTTGTGAGTGTGCAACTTGTGCGACGAATGTAATCGAGAGCTAACGCCGTGCAGTGTCTTCTTCTATCCGCCGCTTGGGTATGCGTATGTTGTTTGGAGGACGAAGAGTAGCCATGGAGACGTTGAGCGCGTGATCGACGAGGAGGAAGGAGTGGATCGAGCGGAACGATCACCGCTGCTGTCGCGAAACAGCGGGAGAGTCCTAGGTTAGCGCTTTGGTGTTAGCTGTACATCTTGAACACGTCTGTGAACAGACTCTGAGGGCTAGATGTCAGATTTGGAGAGGCAACCAATCCTGATCGTTGGCCAGTCCTTGCAAGTTGTTGTATGTGCGACCAAATAGCGTAAAGTAAAGGTATTTCTTTTTTGGGGTATGTGACATGTGCCATTCAAATGCTGAGTCTTCCATGTAACCACTCACTGCTCGCACGCTACGTTCACGTACGGCTACCACAGCGAGCGTACGTGACCACGGTGTGACATGTCCTTCCTTGGGACTGTGTGCTGATCATGTATCGATAAGTCGTCCCTCATCGTGATGTGAAATAGGCCGTTCGCCTTCCCTTTATTCACTCTTCATTGCGAAGGTATCCGCGTCCGTATGCCTCCACAAATTTCAATCAAGCCTGTTGTTCGGAGCTGACTCCAGTGCTTCAAAAGTCGTTGGGCCAGCACTTCTCCTTGGGCCATGTTGTGGCGTCGTGGCTCGCGGCGTGGGCCTCAAGCTGCGCCTTGTTGGTGTTGACGATTTCGCGGCGGCAGTTCTGGCACTGTATTGAATCGGGTGGTCAGCTATGCGCTATGATGCCGTGCAATGCAAGGGCATCAGGTGAGAAGCGCGAGAGTGCCTACGATGGACGTCGGCTTCGGCGCCTTGACGGGCAGGCCGTTTGCCTTGACTGGCGCGCGGGTGCCAGCCTTGTCGGCTTTCTTGTGCTCGCGCTGAATCTTGGATGCTGTCAGTAAATCCCATACTATGTAGATAGCCTGATTATTCAACGTACCCTGTCCTTCTTGGAGATAGGCATGGTGGTGGATCGAGTGGATATGTTGGTGTAAAAGCGAGGGGAAATGTTCTGCAAATAGCGCGGGAGAGCGCGATCACTTTGATCAGGGTCTCGCTTAGCGCGTAGTCTGACAGATAAGCCCCGCTTATCGCCGCCTTGCCTCGCGTCACGAGCCATATTACCTTCACACCATTGACATCGCTTTCAAGCTTTCGAAAGCTCAACTCGCAAAAATACAGCAAGTTCTCGAGCAAGAGAATTCCCGTCCGCAAATCTCGGTGTGCACTTGTCCCTAATCACGATACGTCTTGTCCGCTTGAACATGTCACGGATAGGTCGTGAATCTGGACTTCATTGCTACCTAGGTAGGAGTAATAGTCTTTTATGATGCAACGAAAGATGGCAATGTTTGCTGACTATGAAAACTCTATGTCTTCTAGCGACACTCCGCGTTTTAGCAGCTCTGATTTCGTCAACCTCGGATCATGTTCTGTCCATGCGTCTGGTGCACTCTCATGGCTAAACTGTTGCCAAAATTGTCCTTGTGCATCAGTTCTTCGACGCCATCCCGATGGCAATTCAGTGTTCAATCTCGGATCTTCGACTTGAATCTTACCGGTCTCCGTATGTAGAAAGGCCCAGGAGTACATCCCTAATTCCGCGTCATAATGTAACACCTCCTTAGATGCACTTGGTAAGGGACCCAAGAATGCTTCGTTGTTTCCGAGTCCAGACGTATAGCTTTCTCCAATGATCTTATACCTCCCATTTGAATCTGCGCGAATGACCATGGGAACGTTACACCCAAGCAGGACGCATATGTGGTCGCCTTCGCGCGCACCTAATGGGCCTATGCCGAGATGGTGGGATGATGTTCTGAAGAACACTCGTCGATCGCAGAATTTGGACACGTGAACTGATAACAGACGCTCTCCTTGGTACATGTCGACCTCGCCGTCCCTGAGCGTTACAGTGTCCTGAAGAAACGCTAGCATTGACTCTAAACTTGGAGCCGTCTTCAAAGGTGGCACTAACAGATCCGATACGACACCTCCACAGATACCAAGACAAAACGCTTCGTCCATGGATTTGCCATTGACGTAATCAGAATCCATATCAAGGCCTTTTGCCCACCGTCGGATATTGGAATTGCAATCTTCGCGTGACCTATCAAAACTATCTGCGCTGGTGATCCTACCCAGCCTCGATCCCGTCACTCTCAACACCCTGTCTTGTAAAAACGCTACCTCGCACGCGGAATTTCCGGAAGCGTGCGATTGCGTCATGGTGCTTATAGCCAAGGTCCTGAGATCAGGTGTCCACGAGGGCCAGTCTCCCATTGTTTCATCATATTGGCAGAGGCGCAATATGTCAAGGCGATTCGACATGTTTGTATAATGCATCATCAGTTCCATGTATAGATCTATCACTGGTTTCTCGTAATCAGGTCGTATATCTATCCGCGTTCCCGTTTTGGATGATAGTCCCAAAATGCCGTATACACGATCTCGCGGATCAATGCATCGAGAATGTCGCATATACATAAACAAATCTAAAAGCCGTTTCTCAAATGCACTTGCAAGACGAAAGCAAAGATTCAAGAGTGTTACGGCGTCTTCCGATTCGGCGTCTTCCGATTCGGCGTCTTCCGATTCCCAGATTCTCCATGGAATCACACTTCTCTTGTAGGCGATACAGCACAGCAGGACTTGGAGCTTTGCCCAATGCATTGTTTCGGCGCCGCACATTATCATTGCGTTTGGTTTAGCCAGTTGGATCTCCTGCCATATCCAGAGTCGTTGGAACCATGGTCGCCTCGAAAATGTTACAATCGACTGCCAGGTTGCTACGTCATAGGGAAGCTGTTCTGTTACGTCGCTCCAATGGGCATCATGTGCTTGATCGGACAGACTTCTCAAATCCCCCTTTTCATGATCGACCTCGACCTTCGTAGCGAGAAACTCGCATGTTTCCATGACTGTCTTGCTGTCGCCATCGTCCAGCCCTAGCCAAACAATAACTCTTTCTGCTAAGCTGAATATGTCAGCCATCCGCTGGACCTGCTGACCTCTCTCACTCAGGTCTTTCTGATTGATCGCAATAGCGTCTATCCATAGTCTTCTGGGTACAACAGGATCGCGAAGATACGGCAAAGCTTCCGCAAGGTTTTCTGTAACGTCGATGCTATGATCGCTGCTCGACGAAACTCGTAGCCTGCATGGAGATTCTGCTGAACCCCAGGTGTATGAGAGCGCTTCATACTGTGGGACGTCTTCTTCTGTGAGCCGAACGATGTTAAGGTCGCAGATCACTTCGCTATCTCGATCGGCCGCGGGTAGTAGAGTGATGAGACGGATCTCATCGTTGCTTTCGTCCAGTGGCTGGTAGACATATTGAGCCATTTCTTTTGTCATCGCAGCTATCGAGCTGCCATGTCCGAATGCAATAAGCGGCAGGCGGGTATCGCAAGTAGAGGTTGTAAACGTGTATGACGACCGAAACGATTTAGGGTGTACTGCATGCGGTGGCCGACAGTAGAAGAAATCAGCTGAAAGGATGCATGAAGAGAATGTCCAGCCTTCTTATACAGTTGGTGGCGCGTCTTATCTGCACAATATCAGCGCGCATGACGAGGTGCACCACGGCTTGTAATGTCAGCCTTCAGCCTTGTGCGGGGTGCTCAGCATGTTGCAGTGGCTACTGCTGCAGTGATTCGCTGGGCAACTGAGAGTGTGAAAATCCTCATGTTTGGCGCTTCCTATCCATACACTGTAGCTGATTTATGGGATGCGAGTGCGTAGTGAGGAGGCATTGCGGTGTCATGACACCTAAATTGTCCCTCTATTGCCGGCGGCAGGAGCAAACGACATACGCGGAGCGAAGAAGATTACATCCATCAAACACAGTCTTCGGTGCGACAACGGAATATGACAGCGAAAGTAATCAACGATCTCGATAAAGAAGAGAGATCGTGAAGGGCGCCGCACGTGGCGAAGAAGCCCCGAATCGCGGCTTCCACTTTCCACGTTCTGGCCCTTGCCCCAATTGGCCAGCGGAAACAAACAACGCGCTATTTTTATCAGAACTTCCGCCGCGCTGACTACCCAAACCTCTAATTCCTCAGCACGCCCTCAAGAAATACCCTAATCCGCAACAGCCTGTACGCCCGGCACAGAACGCCAACAAGACTGCCTTGGACAATTTTTGGTCGATTTTCTACTACAAAGACAACGAAATGGCGCGTGGCAATCAGCGCGACAAGGCTAGGGAGAAGAACCTCAAGGAGCAGGCTGGAAAGGTATGTTTGACCCACCACGAACAACGGTTATATCAGCCGTTGTTCTCTCAAAGAAACATCGCGCTAACTTAATAAATAGAAAGGCAAGAACACTGTATGTGTATCCGGGAGAGAGACTGGCGATAAAGGCCTCGAGGGGTGTTGGCTAACCACAGGCTGCAGCAATCCGGTACCGAATTCGCGCGCACCAAAGAGAACGTAGCAGAGATCATGCGCGCTAAGCAAGCTGCTGGTACGTTGTATTTCTCTTATCTTGATCACCCAGATCTCAGAAAGGCCATGCGATACTCTCGAGACGGCGACGCTGACTGCCTGTGTAGCTGAGGCAAAGAGGGCCGCTGAGGGCGCTAAGAAATGAGCGGTCAGACAAGATGCGCAACACGACAAACGACAACATCTTGACGCCACCACCGCCGTCACAGTCAAGCTGTTTAGAAGCCTATCATCATGAAGCGGAGTTTCCTGGGTTTGGATTAGAAGGCGAAGGAGTGTGCTTGGATTGATTCTTGGATATACCGAATACACCGATTTCTGATTTCGAACGCCGTGAGGAGCCCATTGCGCCCTTTTCCCATGCAACACACGAGTCTTTTCCACGATTACAACGCAAACACACAAAGCACTAACAGCAGTTTTGCGAGGCGGGAAAGATTGTGAAAGTGCGATCTCTTGGATCTAGCTCTAATACTAAAGGTTTTTTACAACGTTACAATCCAGTCTTTAACTCAAACAGCACCACCGCGCGGCTACCATCGCAGCATGTGGATTACGGTATAATGCGAAACGCCCCAGCAAATGATAAAAATGGTATAAGGATCCGGGGGGAACAAATGCTAAACCAGAAGCTTTCTTGCCCGAACCCGTCGTAAGAATGTTTGTTTCTCGACCACCACCTCTCCCAAAGACCAACCAAGCGCATACACCTAGTCGATCCATCCCCCTCCTACTCATTACACCGTTTCTCCAAGTTTATATTCGTGAAGGCGTCTATGCGATCATGCCGGGGAAACCGCCGAAGTTGTTGATGGCGGCGGTCTCGGGGAAGGAGGCCATGCCGCAGAGGCATTGGCAGGAGCAGGTCTGGCCGGCACCGTCGGTTCCTTGTCCAGCGACGACGGTGGCGGAGGCGAGGGCACCGGTGCCAGTACCAGTTGCGGCGGCACCTCCAGCCTCGACGGTGACGGTGGTAGGGGCGGCAGCGGCGCCGGGGTCAACGGACTGGAGGTCTCCGGCGACGAGGCCGGTGCCGTTGGTCTTGATGGCTAGGCCCTTGAAGTCGGCCATGGTCTTGTCGCCAGTCTCGGCGGCGTTGATGCTGAAGACCATGCCCTTTCCGCAGTGGATGCCGTTTTGTTGCTTGCAGTAGAACCCTTGATGATGTTAGCTGTCGTTCATGTCATCACTAAATGTAGAAAACTCACAGAGCGGCTCTGTCGTCTCGACGGTCATGTTCCATGTGACACCAGCCTTGCCCTCGGGGTTGGGCATGAAGCCGGAGTCCATGCCTCCCTCCATCTTTTTGCAGGGCTCGGCGAAAGTTGATTGAGTGGCAGTGTGGTTCTTCTGCATGAATTCAAAGACGACCATGTCGCCGACAGCGGCCTTGATGGACTCGGGGTTGTATCCTAGTACGGGTGCCATACCAGTCTCGACGGGCTTGACTCCACCAACGACGACCTGTTGTATGTCAGACTGAGTTCAAGAGTAAGTAGTATGAGTGTACTTACAGTGTGCGTCATCGCGCCAGCTGCGACCTCGGGGGCAAGGCTCATAACCTGCATCTCGGCGGAGGCAAGTACGGCCGCTAGGGGTAGTGCTGTGAAGTACTTCATTATGACTAGATTGCGTATCGTGTAAAAGTGTCGTAAAAGTGAACGTAAGCCTGCGCTGCAAGCACTAGAATATACGATAGAAGGTTTGAAGGATTGAAAGGGCACTACGAGGGCCGGCTCGGACAGTAAGAAGCAGATGAAGTAAGAGAAAGAGACAGTGAAGCACTGGTATTATGAGGCAAGAGCGATGAGATGAGGAGAAAGTTTATGCCTGGGGATTGTCTATTCCTTAAATCCACGCATGAAATTGTTGGATTTGGAAGGCGTGCAGGCCGTTGCGCACATGGCGAAACACCAGCCCCTTGCGCTCGGCATGGCATGGGGGAAACGTTGATCGGTTGCAAGAATGGCGAGATTTTGGTGATGCGCACTTGCTTGGGCGCAACGGCGGGGGGTGTTTGGGACTTGAACCGTTGGAGGTGGGTTCGAGACTGTCGCGGTGGTGTCGCAGATCCGTCTCGCTTCTCGCCAGACAAGCCCAATGCGGTAATCTAAGAACCACCAAGGCTATAGGCGCAGGGACAGAACTAATCAGGATGCCTGGACTATGGGGCTGGGAACTCGTGAGCCGCATGGAACTGTGCAGAGCTTTCATCTCGCAGCCTGTGTTCCCGAGGAGTTGAGGCACGAACTGTGTAGGTCGTCAGTCGCGTGCAGGGACTAGACCATGGCATTCCTCACCCCATTGGTTCAAAACAACGACTTTCAAGCCTCAATATGTCTGCTTCGTCTTCTAAACTCGCTCGGCAGCCACAGTGTGATGCGCACTGCCTCCAAAATGCGTCATTCTCTGGATCCGCTACTGAGTCGCTGGGGGCTCTTTGCGAGCCTGCTGTTGGCCAGCATGCAGACCTGTGTAGTAACCAGCATAGTACCAGGACATCATAATGTTCTTCATATTCTCGTCTTGCACTGTTCAGAGTTAGCAGCATGTCACCAACTGTCAAACTTCCACACCATCCGGAAGTAACGGCTGTCAAAATCACGACTTACCGGTTCCAAGGATAGCCTGCGGCATGACATCTGCAAGAGTGCCGGCAGCATGTGGCACCGGAGGAGCCTCAGCACTTGGCGATTGGATCTGCGGTTCTTGCTTCCCGGAGAGATCTGGTTCCTGGTTCTCGTAAGACAGGGTTCGGTACTGGACTGTTTCATATGTACACGTACCTGCTGCGGCGACGGACCGCTTTGAGCAACGCCATTGGTTTCTGACAGCGGCGTGTCTACATCTTCATGATCCGCGACACCGCTGGTCTCTGCTGTTGCCGATACGGCCTCCGCTTCATCCATCAGGTCCCCGTATTCCCTAGAAACGTTAGTATCGTGATGTAAAGGCTTGGAGAGCTGCTTACCCCCGTGCTTCCTTTAGCTCTTCCTCCGTCAGGACGTCTTCAAGTTTCTTGCCTGATTGGTGGATACTGTGGTATTTCTGTTCTGTTTAGTCGATATCCTCGCGGAAACTACGAAAACGACGCGTGTAGAAACGTACCTTGTACTCATTCACCGCCTCATCCCAGGAATCGATCAGCAGAGAATCATCCCACGCGTTCTTGTCGCTCATGTCTACAACGGGTGCCATGTTGAACTTTGGATCTTCGGCGATGTACAGAGCAGGTTGAGTTGCTAGCCTGGTAAAATGCTGTGAGGGCGTTCACTTTTTCTTTTCGGTTTCAAGTATTTCGCTTGGTGTGAGGTGAGTATCTGGAGTTGTAGGTTAATGGTGAGGGCTGGGGACTATCTTGGCAAGTGTCCATTAGCGCGACTGCCACGAAAAAAGTTCCCGCGTCTGAGCTCTCCTCCGAACTTTTGCGCGTAACAACATTCGCGACCACACAGACCCCACGCCATTACACCAAATCACAATGGCTGTCCAAGACACCACAGGAAAGAAGCGCAAGGGTGAGCGATTGCGACGTTAATAATTCCCGATCACGGTCGCTAACTTGTCTCAGGCGCATCAGAGGCGGCGCCCAAAGCGAAGAAGCCGAGAAAGTCGGACGATGTCACGCCTGTCGAGGCCAAGCCAACGCGGAAATCTGCGCGCAAGCAAGCCGCCGACTTCATGGACATCGAAGAGGAAGCTGCGCCCGTCGCCGTTGCCGAGCCTGTCAAGCCGAAGAAGGGCAAGAAGAGCAAGGCCGCTGCCGACGTCGATGCCGAGATGGCCGAGCCCGTCGCGGAGGTAGTCGAGGTTGCTGAAGTACAGGAGAAGCCTAAGAAGCAAGCAAAGAAGGGCAAGGCCGCCGCCAAGGTCAACACAGAGGTCGCTGAGCCTGTCGCTTCCGTCGTAGAGGTCACTGAAGTGCAAGAAAAGCCCAAGAAGGGTGGCAAGAAGGGCAAGGCTGTAGTCGCAGAGGAGGCCGTCGTAGCAGAGGCCCCCAAGGAGAAGGCTAAGAAGTCTAAGAAGGGAAAGGCTGCAGAGGCTGAACCCGTTGAGGACGCTGTCGCTGTAGTAGGGAAGACTACCACAGTCGCAAAGCCAAAGAAGGCAAAGGGAGGAAAGAAGCAGGAGGCGACCGAACCCGAGATCGAGGTCACCGAGGTCACAGCAGTGGAAGACGACGCAGACGATGCTGCCGAAGACGACCAGACGGCAGCTCTCCTCGCTGGCTTCAGCGACTCCGACTCAGACGACGCCGATGAGGACGTCAACTTTGACGAAGAAGCGAAGGTTCCCAAGCTCAGCGCCAAGCAGCGGAAAGCGATCAAGCAGGCGGAGGCGGCACCCAAGTCCAACCAGCCTGGTGTCCTCTACGTCGGGTATGTGGACCAATCCATTATATACTACATATTGCTAACAATGCGTTTAGTCGTGTGCCCCGCGGTTTCTTCGAGCCTCAGATGAAGCAGTACTTCTCGCAATTCGGCAAGGTCAACCGGTTACGCTTGTCACGCAACAAGAAGACTGGTGCTTCCAAGCACTTCGCTTTCGTCGAGTTCCAGTCCGAAGAAGTCGCTGACATCGTCGCACGAACAATGAACAACTACCTACTGTTCGGTCACATCCTTAAGGTCCACCTTATTCCTGCTGAGCAGGTACACCCCGACCTCTTCAAGGGTGCCAATGAGCGGTTCAAGGTCGACCCTCGCAACAAGAAGGCCGGTCTCGAGATGGAGCGCGGTGTAGAGCGTGCGCAATGGGAGAAGCGCGTGGAGAACGAGAACAAGAGGAGGACAAGCAAGGCTAAGCAACTCAAGGAAGTCTTTGACTACGAGTTCGAAGCACCAGCGCTCAAGACTGTCGACAGCGTCCCTAAGCATACCACCATCACTACGCTCGAGGCCGCAAAGCCCCAAGAGCTTCTTACCGAGACGGCTACTGAGGAGACCACAGCTGTTGAGCTCCCCAAGGCCAAGAAGGGCAAAAAGGGCGCCAAGGCTCAAGCAGCAGCACCACCTGCAGAGGTTGCTGAGGTCACAGAGGTAGTCGAGGCTGTCTCGCCTGCGCCAGCAAAGAAGGGCAAGAAGGGTGCCAAGGCCAAGCCTGTTGAGGCAGCTGAGGTCGTTGTGGAGGAGGTTGCCGCGCCTGCCCCAGAGAAGAAGACCAGGAAGCGCAAGTCCGATGTCACAGTCGAGACTACTACCGTTGCTGAGGAGACCGTCCCAGAGGTAACGCCCAGGAGCAAGCGAGCCAAGAAGGAGAAGGTCGTCGTCGAGCCCATTGTCGAGGAGGTCGAGGAGAAGAAGACTGCTGCCAAGCCGAAGAAGGCCAAGAAGGCGAAGGCCTAAACGCGCTGATATCAGCTCTGACAGCAGTCAGCTTCGTTGTACATGTTTAATGGCCGCGGCAGTTTACGACTTTCTGCACTCGACCACCTGCACCATTCTTCATCGATGAGCCGGCGTTACGTAGACAAAACGTGGTTTTAGCGTATCCATACCAATGCAGCATTCAACCATCCACTTTCGTTTCCCATCACACGTTGTGTGTTTTTCACGAGCCATCCACTTGATTTGACGTGTTCCCTCTCAGGTGGGCACTTCAACCCCGGTCTCTGCTCCACCTTTAAACCTCAAATAGAAGGAGCACGAAGAATATTCGCGCTTACACTAGCTACCTTTCCGGATGTAGAAAGTTTCCGTAGAGTGGACTTTGCGTCTAGTAGGCACGGGGAATAGTTGTCGTATAAGATGACCAGGCATCCTACGCCAAGATTTCCATTACCTCTACATTGCTAACACACTGTAAAGAGTTCCTCTTTGTCTATCCCTCATCATATCCATCTCCCCATCAGATTCAACACTTCACAATGGCAGAGAACGACGCGCGCCTCGCGGCATCGCAAATGTACGAGTCCGTTACATCCTTACCCCCAGCGAAACGCCACATCATCACCCACAACGCAGAGGGCAAAAGCACTGTTCACTCAAGCCCGACATTGCAGTACTACGGATACCCCGGTATCGGTGGAACATCTCGATCATGTAGGTCTTACCTATACCACTCATCCACTGGAGAAAGCAAAACGACTTTACACACTATCGCCATGCCCATCAAGTAGACATACTAACACGAACCCCCCAAACTAGACGCCACATCCTCCATCCCCGCCTCCCTCCAAAACGACGAGGACATCTCAGCCTACACATCGCAAGAAGGAGAATCAAGCTACACCGGTCGCAGCATCGTAGCCAATGGATCTGGCTCCCACCTCATCGTCTGCGATCTCGCTCCTGGTCAGGCTAGTATGATGCACCGCACTGTATCTATCGACTACGTGATCTGCACCCATGGCGATGTCCGTATGGAGACTGCGACTGGGGAGATGGTGGAATTGAAACCTGGTGTATGTACTCCTTCTCTTTTTTCCCTTTCCTCCTTACTTTCTTCGGTTTGGTGTCCTTTGGGATCGGTGAAGAAGGACGTGGGTTTATGTCGTAACGGTACTAATGGATTGGGAATAGGATCATGTTATCCAGCGAGGCACGATGCACAAGTGGCATAATGCGTCGGAGACTGAGCCCGCAAGGTTCATTGCTATCACGTTGCCTGCGGAGCCGTTTCAGGTTCCGGGTACGGGGGAGATGTTGGCGGAGGAGCATGTTAAGGGGAGTGAGGCTAAAGACTGGGATGTTAGTAAGATGTAGCCGATTAGATGGCAGATTCGGTGAACGAGGGAGAGGTCGCTAGATTATAGAAGATAACATAACGGCAACACACGAAGATGTTGAAGCAGAGACTACTACGAATGTGGAGAGTTCATCCACGATGAGATCACCATAGGTCGCACCCCAAGTCATATGACGTTGAAGGATTTCATTTCGCTAATGATGTAACACAAAGACCACACATACAACCCTTATTTTGCCTCGCCGCTGCATTATCGATGACAACTAAGCTTACAAGGTACAACGAATCTAGCCTGTGCCCGATACTGCGAGCTTCATAAGATGGTCCATGAAAGTCTGCAGACTGACGTCGTCGGTGAAGATGGTCTGAGCTGTCGCAGCACCGCCATAGCTGTTGGTTTGATGTGTGGTCGAAGGGTTGAGCTTGCTGAGCAGGAAACGAGCTTGTGAACCGCCGGCATCACAGACGATGAATCGAGGCAATGGGAAACGATCCTGGATGAGCTCCTTGGCATCTTCCTTCGGTGCCTCCAGAAGTTCCCTGAAGTTCTCATAACCCTCTTGCTCTTGGTATCCAGCCTTCCGCCACTCGGCCATTGTTTCGCCGTGGAAGATGAGAATGTGGAAGAATGTGTCGAGCAGTAGCACGGTTTCGTTCTGGATGGAGCTAGAGTCGAGCAGGACAGGCTGACCGCCTTCGTGGTCGAAACCGTAGCTGTCTAGTGTTGGCTGAATCATGATGAGGGAGTTGCTAACGTCCTCGTGGTTCAAGACGTGACGGTAGAAGGCGGTTTCGTCAGGCGAGTTGTTGAAAACTTGCAAGAACTGCGATCGACGAAGATGGAACATGAATTGCGGGTATAGTGTGAAGTTCTTCTCGAGCCTGGTCCAGTAGTTAGTATATGAAATTCAAGTGAGGATCACATGTTCCAGAGTGTTGAAAGTCTTACCTGAATGACGACGGGTCATCTTTCCTGTACTCAGCGAAGCGGGCGCATAGTCGGATAAGCATACGATCGACCCATCGGAGAACGTCAGGGCCATCGTCGACCTCAGCCTTGAAGACCGCTATCCTCGACATGAGGACAGCTGCAGCTTCTTGGTCAAAGGACTGGGCAATGGCAGGGTCGCCAGATGGACCGCTCATGGGTCGGGCCACAGTGGTAACTGTGAATATTTAGTATGCGTGCTTAGTTTAGACACGTTTCAGGGGGGACATACCTCTCAAGTGATACTGGCCAGCGGAGTGCTGATAGTATGTGAGGAACTGAATAAGAGCCTGTTGCTGCGAAGAGGTCACGTTGGACCCGCCTTGGTTGGCAATCTCGAAATAGATCGAGTATGAGGCTTCAGGGTCGATACCGCACATTTTCCAGGCACATGTGTTTCCGATACCGCATTCCGTCTCACCAACAGAGACAGACTTCTTGTTCTGCGACACAGCGTGTCCAATAAGACCAGTGATCTTCAACTCTCTGGTTGTCAGCACCTCAAACTCGGCATTGAATCCCATAAGGAGGTTGTCGTCCGCATCCTTGTTGAAAACGCGCACGAAGGACTGCTTGTACATGGACGAGGTGAAGCTATCCGTCAGGATCATGTGTCCACCAGTGTTGTTTGCAAGACCCCTCATCTCAAGAAGACCGACCTGATCCAGACATCCGGCAAAGATGTCAACAATATGGCCGTTGTGGGAAATGCGCTTCGCAAGGCCCTCGTAGAACTTCAGTGCCTTCTTGTAGTACTTGATGTTGTCGCGGTCGATGTCGTGGTGCGACCGGATGGGCTCGCGCAGCTCCGGGCCAACAACCATACCAGGTCCCTCGGTGGCTGGACCACCGCTAAACAACATGATGCGGGCGGCACTGTTCATGAAGCTCGTCTCCAGGAGTCCAGCAGCGACGCTGAGCGCCACGCCGGTACACCTCAAGGGACGCTTATCGTTCGCGACAGGCCAGGGGTCCCGTTGGATTGATTCGAGAGCGTTGGTCAACTGCAATTCGCACTGCGATACGGGTAGGATGAAGCGCGTGCCAACGCCACCTGGAGCGCCCATAGGTGGTCGTCCAGGCTGCTGTGGGACACCGGGTCGAGGAGCCATCTGGCTAAGGCCTAGCATCTCGTGCACCTGCTTGGTGGAGTAGTCCTTGCTTCCGCGGAAGACGTACGACTTGGCGCATTCGGTGTAGCCCAGCTCATGTACTTGTGTCTATGGCTGTCAGCTCATAATACTCATTGTAGCTTCCTGTACCTACCATTGTACCGTAAGTGACCAGACCAACGAGCGCGTATGCTGGGAGCAGGCTCAAAGCCATGATGATCGAGTCCTTCAGCGCCTTCAAGCTGTCTTCCTCTTGACATGTGTCTACCACGAAAATGAAGATGGGCGGGCTCGGTATGGGTCGGGGAAGGCGGTATTCGATCGTGGTACTGTTCGGGTGCATCTCTGGGGGCATCTGCTGGTTGGAGATGTCCTTGTAGTGCGGGGGGAGGTGGTTGCGGTTCAAGCAGAAGGGGCATATCCATTGGTTGGCGCGCATGTCAATTTGACTGTCTCAATGTCAGCTTGAAATCAGTTGCAAGAGACTATGCCATGCATACCAGTAGGGGTTGAGGATAGCTTTGCATGGCGCCCTGCAGCTGACAGGCTCGTACTGGAGGAGCGGAGTGTCCGTCTTCTCCTTGAGAGGCGTGTAGTGTGCACCAATGGGAACGACTAGGCGAGAAGCTTCCTATATATGGCATCAGTACGTTGCGCCCCTCGCGCCGGCGTTGTCTATCGTACCATGCGCGTGCTGGGAAACGTGTTCCAGCTGAGACGGACGCCATCCCTGTCTTCAATGTCGCTCCACTGGTCCTTGAGCGCCTCGAAGTCGGCCATGCTGGGCGGGTGCAGCTATCTGGGCTGCGCGAGGAGGTCTGGGGTGGGTGAGGGTTGTCGAAGGTTGGTGGTGGAGGGACCGAGGGCGCCCACGATGGGAGATTTGGCGGGGCGGTGTGAAGTGTAGCAGGCGCGAGACGGGGAGCTGTAGTTGTATGCAGCAGAATGTACCGAGACGTGTCAAGTGTTCCTCCTTCAAGGCAACAACTGCACTAGATAATGCAACGTCGTAGGAAGCTCACGCACTTGAACTTGCGTGGATACCTCAGTTGGCGATGCGGCCAGATGTTCTTGCCCTAGCGCTCCCAATCCGGCCTAGCACCACCGAAGCTCCGCTCCGCCCCAGCCTCAAAACCGCGATTTTCCTCGCCGTCGCTCTCTTTCTCTTCATCATCGCCAGCAACAAATACACTACGTAATGACAGACTCTCATTTCTCTAATGAATGAGCCTGTTTTCGCGCTGCGCGAAGAAGAGACTTAGACCCATGGCTGGGCGCCCGATCTGGAAAACTCATTCTGAGTATACTGATAGGTTGGGAATCAGCAGAGGTCACATTCCATCATCGTGCAGTCTTCGTCATTAGAATCTTGTGGGCCTTCCGTCTGGTCTTAAGGAAGCCTTCAAGGCAGGCATCTTCAATCCGCATTGTCACGCAACGTGTTCTTTGTACCGTACATATTGTTGACCATGAGCCAGAGTCTTGCTGAAAGCAACGTCAACTGGATCACTGTAGCCTTCAGGCAATCGTACACGTCACTTCTGATGTTCAGACCCATCCTTCTCTCAAGAGAGCCTACGCTTGTTAGTAGCCAGACGATATGATGACATCCAAGGGCTTCCTCTCTCGACGACGCATTTATACAGCAATTTCATGTCCTTGCGCAGGGGCAAAAGCCGCAATCATTATGTTCCTGTTGAAGCGGCTCGTTGCGATACGAGCATGGCCGTCTTGATTATGTCAGAAGCGCCCGATGGATATGGAGCATTTGGACTTCATGTAACTTATACAACGACACCCACGTCGACCGCGATCATCCAACGCCTTCTACGGCACCAATTACACATTGACGGAGACACGTCCGATGTTCCCGCTGGAGCCTCCAGATCTGCAGCTGTGTTTGGACGTATGCGAACTCCTGATATATTAACAATCTGAGTCCGATCGGGTAAATGCATCGCAATACACTAGCCTCATCACCTGCCAGTGTACTGTACGACGCATCAGAAGCTGGGTATATATGTATTTGTGATATGTGTAGCATCTCTTGTTGCGTTCTGTATTCTCCAAATATAGTCAATGCTACAGTCCATGATCATGGCTCGCACCTCTGCACTTCTCCTCTCGCTTCTTGCAGGTCAAGCCTGCGCCCATACCTTCATCTGGGTATGCCCAGCCAACCTTAACTCCCCAGTCCCTATACTAACACCCCCAGGGCGTCTTCGTCAACGGCATAGACCAAGGAACCTTCAAAGGCGTCCGCATCCCCGCCTACAACGGCCAAAATGGAAAAGGCGGCTACAACAACTCGCCCGTCAAAGACCTCGACTCCATCGACATGCGCTGCAACGTCATGGGCGACATCCAAGCCCACGACACCATCAAAGTGCAACCTGGCGACAACCTGACCTTCGACTGGCACCACGATTACCGCAACGACAAGGACGATGTCATCGCGAACTCGCACCATGGCCCTTCGCTCATCTACATCTCGCCTGACCCGCCGACGGAGAACTCTTTTGTCAAGATTTGGCACGAGGGGAAGTTTGAAAGTAATCCGTTTCCGCAGGCGGGCAAGTGGAGTACCACTGGTGATATTGCGATGAACTACGGTCATATGAATGTTAGGGTGCCGGAGGGGCTGAAGGCAGGACACTATATCATTCGTGCGGAGATGGTTGGTCTGCACGAGGGCGATGTGAGCTATCTCGCGAACCCAAAGAGAGGCGCACAGTTCTACCCCGACTGTGTTCAGATCGAGGTTGAGGGCGATGGCGAGGTTGAGTTGCCCAAGGGTGTGAGCTTCCCTGGAGCGTACTCCTACGAGGACCCTGGTGTTGTGCACAACGTGAGTCTCCTCTTCCTAAGTACTGGGGCGTAGCTCGCTCACTGACATGACGCAGGTGTACTGCTCCACCGAAACCAAGAAGCCAAAGACTTCCACTACCCCCTGCGTTACCGACTACGTTATCCCAGGTCCTACTGTGTGGTCTGGTGCTTGGGCTGAGACTACCGCTGTTCCAGTCGGACCCGTCGATGGTGTTACGACTGCGACGGCATGGAGCACATGGATTGGCACCGATAGTGTTGTTACGAGCGCTACGTTTGCGGATGTGAAGAGTCAGACGATCGTTGGAAGTTCAAAGTACACTGCGAGTTGGAGCGACACGTATGCTACGCCTACTGCTACGGCTGCGCGTTGGTAGATCGGGGTCGACAGAATGTGGGCAGTGGCTCTACGCAAATCCAAACGCATTCATTCGCTAATCTTCGTATTCAGTTCGCTTTTTGAGACCTTTCCGTCTCGTGTTCCTTTGAAGAAGACGTTGAGTCAAGTCTTTTCGAAATACTCTTCATCATTTTCACATCTCTTCCCAGACTCCAGACCGCAAAGCAAAGCTTTTTCCACACGGTGCCACATGCATGCAAAGTCGCAGCCTGCTCATCTGACCGACAGCCATATCGCTCAGTCATCTAAGACTATGACTTCAGGCTTGCGCTTCTTTATCTGTCTGCGTACGTCGTCGTCGTCCACCGGCTCGCGCTTGATAGTCGTACGCTCCGTCTCATCATTCTGTCTTGTGTTAATACAACTGGAAACTCAATTCTTCAGAATACTTACTCGGTAGGAGCTGAGTAGGATAGCCAGTTCCTTCTCCGGAAGACCTTCCAAACCCTCGCTGCTACCGCGATAATGCTTGATGAGGATGAGCATATCTTTTTTGGTGAGCTTGGACTGGTCGCAGTCAGTATGTAGGGTGAGGCTCCGCTGCAGTGGAGCTGGAGTGGCACTAGCACTGGCGCTCTTGGGTCGTGGGGTAGCAGAAGATGATCTGGCACTTGAGGGGACATTCGGAATCGACTCGGGTAGCTCTTCTTTCTTGATCAAGTCTGGTTGTGGAGTTGGAGAGGGACTGGGAGAGCGTGGTATGAGTCCGAGAGATTTCAATGCAGCTGTTCTTTGTGAGTCTCATGATCGTGTCCCTTTGCGAATGACTTACCGATAGAGCGATATTTGAACTGAAATGTGACTAACGACTCCTTAGCTAGTCTTGACTTAAATCCCACGGGGGCCTCCAGGGCTCTATCTGGCGCAAGTCTCATCTTTCATCAGCAGGTCTTTGTCCATGCTAGAGTAGGTAATCACCTTATTGTATGGGATCGTACGTCGCCCTTGAAAGCGTCTTCAGACACTAGTCCAACATCCCTCAATGTTACCTTCCTTCCCCTTGGCCTTGACTTTGTCCGATAGCCCAGGACTTCTGTAAGCGTTACAGATATGTTGCCCACCGAACAAAGGGTATCCGGATTTTCTTTGGCGAGGGTTCCATCAGTATCTTCAACTTTAAAGCGGGTCAGTGAATGATCGTAGTTGATAGCTATAATTGAAACTAACGCACCGATACTGAGGTCCGAGAAAAGGAATCTGGATGCCCGCCACTTCGCTTCATCCTTCCACGCGGTTTCGTCTTGGATATAGGTCGATTCGAGCAGCTCGTGCTTCTTTGCAAGCTTTCCATGTACCGGTATCCCATCTACACTACACCAAACGGCTATGTCTGCAGGGGTGAAAGGCGCATTAAAGCTCGTCTTTATCGCAAATTCCGCACCCGACCGGCATTCAACGTATCGCGTGGTGGTCTTAGGCACATCTTCCTCTTCCTCGTTCTCGTATTCCTCAAGTGGTTTGCCGTCGACGTATATCTCAACCGTCAGGCCTGGGTAGTCGGCATGGATCGCCATGCTGATGTCGTAAACCGATTCGGGTGACGGTGAGAAAAGTGGAAAGTAGATGGTAGCAGAGGAGATTCGGTGTCTCGCTTGTGGCAGGCAACAAGGCGCTTGGACACTGGACACTCTCAAAGTGAGGGTGAGCGAGGAAAATCTTGCTGCTTAGGTACTAATGCGGTAAGAGCGAGGACGACTCAAATTGGAAGGAGCAACGAACTGAGAGATGAGGTGAGTGACCATAACACGAGTAACAAGCATCGGGCTTTGCTGTGGTCTTCTTAGGATAAGTTGGCAACTAGTCGAGGCTGCTGCTGCAAAGTAACATGAGCGTTCATCAGACATTCAATTGAAATCTGTCTAGAGTCTCCAGTTCATATGTGTGTGTCCATCCGACATGAACTTTTGCACGACCAAAACACACTTCTAGTCCAGCACGATAACCTCCTCATTCGTACCACGGTGACGCTTCCGGTCTCTAGACCTCACAACCGTGACCTCCTCGCCATCGCTGGCTTCGACAACCTCATCGACCCGCTTGCGCTTGTCGACGGCTTCTTTCTTGACCTTGACTGCAGCTGCGTCGCGATCCTACGATAGTGAGTATGTAATATCGTAAGCCTGTACCATCAAACTACCTTGAATTGCTTGACGAGTTGGCGTAGCTCATCCGGGGTGAGCTCATCTTCAGGTCGCTCTTCCAGAGGTAGCGGAGTGGGCTCGCGTGGGATGAGACCCAGAATTCGGAGAGCATCTACACGAATCAGCTAGTGACACGACGTCGCGAAACTACTTCGACTTACTTAGGGAGCGATACTTGAACTTGAAGGTAGCGAACGGAGACTTCGTTACATAGTCCCAATGCCAGAATGTTGAACGTGCATGCGCAACAGGCTCGGACATGCTATACATATCAGCGTTACCTCCACAAGGTGGGGGTTAACATACCCAGCTCCATGAGTGAAGGTACGCCCTTTCAGTGCCTTCTCAGAAACCTGTTTCGATGCTGAGATGCTCTCGACGATGTGAGTAGGGGATACCTGCCCCAGATTTTTTATGTACGTCAAGCCGACAGTGATGGTTCCAAGTGAGGTCAGATCAGGGAGGGATGCGCTACCTTCAACTTCAGAGTTGTTAGCTCGTTTCTAATATCAAAATATTTCAAGACACATAATGAGTTCTTCGTGGTAAGCTTACCGATTTCCAATTCGGCAAAGCAAAACTTCTGGATTTTGGAATGTTCGCCGATCTGGGAGTTAAGCCCCTCGAAGAGACGTTCCTCAAAGAACCAGGCTTCGCAGATGAGTTTGCCTACCACAGCTCGGCCATCAAGGCTGATCTTAGCTTCCATGTCACCTTTTGGGAAAGGATATCCTTTGGTAACCGAGACTTTGATCGCGAAATTAGCCCCAGATGTTGCTTCGACATATCTCGTGATCGTCGTCGGCGACGCGGGAGTGTCGCTATCGTCGTTGTACTCGGGGAGTGGAGCGTCGTTGACGATGATCTCGACGGCAAGGCCGGGCAAGAAGGGAAGAACAGCCATGGTGCAGTGGGCTATCTGGAAGTGAGTCGTATTACTGGTGGGAAGGAAAGGATGAGAGACCTCAAAAGTAGACCGCTGGAAGTTATTAAATACCGACAACTGATGAAGCGTAGTGAGAGAGGTAGAGTAGACGTGAGCGAAGCTAGCGCACGGTGCTGGGGGGAGTAAAGGCAACTATCGTATCAACAGGTGCTGGCATGTTGTAATTACATGAGCTGTGACTAACTTCCCGAATGGCTATCTCTAAGCATTCCTAGGTATGTAGAAAAACGTATTCTCCCATGGCGTATTAGCCTAACCGTGCATACATACCCCTAGAGGCGGTTGCATGCATCAATACTTCGGCAGCCTACTTCCATGCGTGAAATGAGAGTTGGCCCAGGATTCAGAGTTCACTCCCACTTCGAGGTAGGCTATCTTTGGACGTTTTTACACCACCTTGGGCTCAGCGCCGTGAAGACGGAGTAGATATTCCTTCAGTCTATCACGATAACCTCTTGCTCCACGTGCGGACGTTTGCGCTGTCGCGTCTCGACAAAGGTCACTTCATCATCGTCGTTAATCGCCCTCTCGCGCTTAACGCTCGTAGTAGCTTCGGCTTCTTGCTTGATGGAAGCACTCTCTGATTCTCGCTACATATATGTCAGTATCAACAACAGCGATTTACAGCGCATACATACCCTCCGTACGCGCCGTAGCAGCTCTCTCAGCTCAGCAGGTGTAAGCTCTTCTTCGGGCCTCTCTTCCAGAGGAACGGAGGGAGGATCGTTGACTGTAACAAGCCGAAGTGCCCTGAGGCTCTCTGAAGAGACCCTGTTATCAGTCAATATTACAGTGTGAGCGTGAACATGACTCACCAAGTGACCGATATTTGAAGTGGAAGGTTGCGAATGGCTCCTCGTCTAGAAATTTATACTGCCTGTGGGTACGTTCAGAACGTCTCGGACGGCATTTTTGAGGCTCTGAAAAGCTTCCAAAGGGTTAGTTCTTCGTTGAGTGGCAGATTTGTCCGTTCTGACGTACAGTATTTGGTGCGATAATGCGTCGCCTTTGAGCGCCTTCTCAGGTATTTCCCTCAGAGCTGCAAGTCTAGTGTGCGAACCGGACGGTACATGTTCCATCACTTTTTCTTTGAAACTCTTGATGAGTTGAAAGGATAAAGTGATGCACCCAGTGGTGCTGAGACTTTGCTTCAGAGCAGCGACATTAGGAATGGATTCACGGGCCTCTTCGACTGCAAAACCCTATCAGCATACGAAATCAGACGGTATCCAGGGTACTTACCAATGTTCAGCTTAGCAAAAGAGAACTTTTGCTTGACCCATTGTTCACCTTCTCGCCGGCGAATGCCCGTATTCTCGAAAGGTTTCTTGAAGAGGTCCTCTCGCAAGCAGAGCGCTTTGTCCATGCCGGTTCCGTCAATACATAGTGACGACCTAACATGATACTGGGTTGGGAATGGTGGCTTGAACTCAGTCACGATCGAGAAATGACTGTCTGAGCGCGCTTCAATATACTTTGTAGTTGTTTTCGGTGCCGGGTCCTCGTCTTCGTCCTCGTACTCAGGCAAAGGCTGGCCATCAACGCATATCGTGACTTCCAGACCGGGATGATCAGGATCAATGGCCATCTTACTCCGCTTTTGAGTGGGTTTAGCTGGAGTCGTGGTCGGATCCGCGGCGAGCTAGGGTGCCAGAACGAAGATGCGCTACTCGTGGTGCATTCGGAGAAGCGTCGACGTGAGATACAAGACCGCTACCCCGTCTTCGAACGTAGCGGGTGCAGGTGAACGCGATCCGCAACGGTGCGGCTGTGGCAGGATTGGAGGGGAAGGAGGTGCCCAAGGCCCGATGCTCAATGTTTGCTCTATACCAAACATGGTAAGGCGCTCCTGCTAGCGCGCCCTTGCGGCACTTTAAAGGACACAGCGTATGTAAGCAGGAGCGTCCGCTTCAGCACGCTTGACTGTTCCGTATTCATGATGTTACAGTTTTGTGAGAAGTACTGACTTTACTATCCATTCAGGCGCCATCCTGCGCATTCGCTGAGGCGGAAGCCCGAACTCACCACGCGTCCAGCATGCCATTGATGCAAGTCCTGAGAACCCAAATGCGAAGAGGCACTACTTGCAAAGTTGTCGGGATCAAAGCATTTAGCTCTTATCCCACACGACGCGTCGCATTTCTCCGTGGAAGGATGGCGAAAATGTCATCAAAGAATATAGCCTCGTGGCACGGGTTCTACTAATAAAGAGCGGTCTCGAACAACAAGCATGCGATTAGCAAACTAGATATCTATCTTGAGTCAGCTGCTTAATCACATTAGACTTGGAATACATCAAGCTCCTAGTTGTAGCTAGCAAAGCGGTGACTGACTACGTAGCATTTGGGTTTTGGAATACCTACCTAGGCTGGTAATCGACTGCATGAAGAATCAGGAAATGATGTTGCCAGAAACGAAGAGAATCCGTACCATGTTGAGCGCATAGGTAAGGCTATTGGTAAAGACCCTGCTCTCAAGGTCTTTGATATATCTGATCATCTACACAGGTAGATTTTCAGCACACAGCTAGTCGTCTACAATCAGTGCTAACATTGACCGAGAAGTTTATAGCCTTGGAAGAGACACGTCTGCTTCCCATTCACAAATCAAGATGTTCATGTGGCCTTGGAAGATCCAGGTCGTAACCACAAAGATGGCGATAAGTTTGATCAGAGGGGAAGAGGCACAGAGTGCGGGGCCGTTAAAGCAGCCGCACTAGATGAATGATGTGCACCATAGACCATCCAACTCTGAACATCACATGTATACAAAAGCTCTCTATATCTCAGAACTCTCCACATGCTTGCGAAGACCAAGATCGCTGCTAAGGCATCAACAGTGTTGACGCTAATGCCCATGTACACGTGGAATCCAGTTCCACGGTACATTTTCGCCGACAGACATCCAGCATACCTAGGCAACCTTACATACAGCCCAAAAGCTTACACCTACATCAAGGATCAAGGCTTGCGAGGCTGACATGCAGGTGGCCAAAGCCTACGCGGCCCCAAACGAGCAGCGCTGACAGTGTCGCCATGTGGAGACACACTACTGATCGCAGATTAGCGAGAGAACAAGATCTGAGAAAGCGCAACCCACAGACAGAGGGCTTAGCGCACAAACACCCGTATTGAGACCCGCGTTGAGCGTACCGTTGCCTGAACCATCGTAAGCTAACTTGCTTACCATCATCAGCCTCGCAAGAGGCTCGTAACGTGGACTAGCTGCCTGCACCCGGCTATTTTGCGCCGATGGTGTATAGGATTCTCGTATGCAGTGCGTATGGGTTTACTTCGGAGCAACGACGGACCTTCAACCGACTGCGACAAAGATTCATGATCTGTCAGCGCTGAGTAACGCATGAATAATTTGCAAAGGGTCGCGTGGAATCCGGAGATAACGCAACTCCGCGCGTATTTCGCGCTTGAAGTGTGTCTCGGCGTAAAGTCGCTTTATGGTGCGGCCGAGGTGATGCCACCGGTTAACGAAAGAGGAAGCAGGAATGCTTTTGCAGTGTTGAGGGCCAACAGATTGCGGAGAATGCAGTCAGCGCAGAGGGTGTGGTGAGATTTGACTCGGCAGATCTCCGAACTCGACCGACCGAACGACCGGATGAACTCCGCATCGTGGTATTGGTGTCGCAGGATCCGCTAGATCAGGTCGCATCTCCAGTGACAAAGAAGCAATTATCTTGGTGATGCATCAGTCAGGAGAGCGGTTGTGACTGAGCGCATGACGGATGACGTTGCAAACCAGGTCCCGAATGCCATGAGGCACAAAACCGGAAACGGTCGACGCCCTGTTACATTTCCAAGCCTCACGAACCCCAAAAGAACCGTTGGGTGGAAGAACATCGGAAGGCGCTTGCCCTGCATATGCGAGCAGGACTTGTGAAATTCTTATCCCGGCAGATGGAGAACAGATAAGAGCATAGGAATAGAAATCCCTGGGCGAGCAGTGCTATGCTATCCATACATACTTGAAGATGTATAGTGACCGGTGCATCGAATATGTCACAGCTGCGTTGTGAGTGGAGAAGTCCCCAAACACGCGACTATCAGGCCTCAGGCGTCATGATCGGCAGTCATGCTTCCTGTCATAGCAGGTGGACCGGCAGAAACTTTGTCGAAAACAAGCAGACGCAGGGTCTCATCATCCCGCGCTCGCGGATTGGCGGGCACAAGGGCTAGGGATGGTGCCCGCTCAGCCGTTGGCGATCGATGACCACATCGGGCGAGCTTCGAGAAGTGATGGGCAGTTTCAATGACCAGCAGGTTGTCGACTAAGACGTCAGGGAAAGGATATTCATTGGGGACATATTGCTTCGCAAAAATAGAAGCGCAAAGCAGGAGTTCTGCACGGCAGTCGTTTGGGATGGATGGTGAGGGAAGGGATGGTGAGGAGACTTCGGAGAGATGATGTCATGGACCCTCGTAAGCGATGAAATAGCATTCGTTCGGACCGACGGAGATGGACGCAATACGAATGCGACTGCAAGGACACAGTATTCCCCATGGCATGAGAATGCAAAATATGGAAGAAGAACTCGGGTTGTGGCATAGAAGGATACAGAAGCCTCGGGTGGCAGGGCGCCGGCTTAGAAATGTGGCTAGTAACTTCGACGCGCGAATGAACGGTCCAGATCGCCTCGCGGCCGCCGGAACAGTTACATTGTCCGTGCATACGATAGGGCTGCACTGCCACATGGTGATGCGATGGACCCTGCATTTGTGTCCTTCTCCACCGATCTTACCCGTTCGAGGCCGTCGATGCGATGCCACGTTGGTTTTAGGGCTGCATTGCAACTCCACAGGATGCTTGCAGCACGTTGCATATGCCGTTTATTCAGCAGGGAGAGTCTCAGTGAAGAGTTTTCCTTGTGCAACCTTGGCTGTACTCGACCTGTGGCTGTCGGGATGTTGCACGGCAGTGCCGTTGTTGAGTAGAGGATGCTGCCAGTGCCGAAGCGGAAGTGGAGGTTCCACCTGCAGGATAGACGGTATCTGAGCTGACATCGGATGCTAGTAGTATCGCAGCTGGTAGGTGCACATCCCAGTTTATTGGTTCGTGGATCGATCTCCAGTTTCAGCATCTCTTGAAGAGATGTGCATTGTGCTAGCCAGCAGAGTGGTCCTCGGGAGCCGTTTGGCCACCAGATCCAGCTATCAATAGTACAGAGTATGGGGTAGGCTATTGACGGTTATCTCCAAACGATACCGCGTGGCCTCGCGTCCAATACACGCGAGCTGAAAGCAGTATCATATCACGGTCTTGGGCCCAGTAACTCAAATGCCACAGGGCAGCTTTGAGTCACGCGTGAGGACATGTGACCACTGTAGACGCTGGCCGAGGTGTGGCTGGTGCCCGTCGCGTACTCCATCTGGTATTCGTAATCCACATGCGCTGTCGAGTAGGTTGTGCATGGAACGATGCTGCTCAGCCCGTCTTGGAGCATCGTAGTCCCAGCGAGCCTAAACGGCCAGCTGTTAGACCAGATACGGGCGTGTCACCATGGACAGACCTTTGGAATTGGTCCGTCGCACGATGCCCTACAAGCTACATGCCGACTGCACACTAGAGCGACTGGCACAGCGATGAGTAACGGTTCGGTTCGTAGGGCTCCGTTTCACGTGGAGAGCATGCCTGCAGAGATCGCCTAGATGGGCACAAGCGATTGCACAGTATTTTGGGAGCAAGTCATGGACGCTGGGGGAAGGCCTCTCGGCTGGTATCCGAAGGCATGTGGAAAATTCTGTATGGTAGACAGTCGTCTGCCGGGTTCTGCACAGCCTTCGGTCGGACAGGGCCCGCGGCGGCCGTATGCAGGGTGCGTGAGGGTGGTGTCGATCGCGCCGCTTTTGCGCGTTGGCGTCATGTTAGCGTAGACACCCCTGCAACGCCCAACATGGGTTGCGTCATAGGATGAGGTATGAAAGGAAACCGATTCCGCGTACTCAGCAGCCCAAGCCGTTTAAACTGTCGCTCAGCAATTTGCAATCTCTTACGACACACACATACACCTTAATCCCGACACTCCGAGCACAGCCGACGCAGACTCTGAATTCTTCCAACGTCTTCGACCGCGTGCTGCCCAGATCACCTCATCAAGTGGTCTTTCACTCAAATCGGCGAAGACTAACCGAGTCATCGGCCGGTAGCCCACTAGTATAAAGCAACTTGCCACCCGCGCTGGTCCCTTACTTTTCCTCCCGACCATTATGTTAGCGCTACCCACACAACGTCACCACCTTTCAACCATACCGTCACCACCGTCTTCACACTCTTCCTATCAACACCTGCCCCAGCAGTTTGCCGCACAACACCTCTACGACCAGAAGCTCCTCAACGACTACCTCGAGTCCCAGCAGCAGCAGTACGGCACTTCATCCAGCAGTGCACCCAACTCGTACATGACGAGCGCATACACCGACTTCGCGAACCCGGCCATCCGAATCCAGCAGTCGACACCCACACCGCAGCTTCCCCAGGGCTTCGCACAACCGCCTATGCTCTCGGCCAGCAACACCAGCACGGGACTTGAGTCCTGGAACTATGGTAACGTGCAGGGCCAATCGCTCCAGACACCACACCAGAACCAGAACCGCGGCCACCAGCGCGCATCGTCATCGTCTTCCGTAGGCTCAAGTGCCTCGCAATATCAGGCCGTTGGACCTTCCGCGGGCTACCAGTACGTCTCTCCCCCCGAATACCCGCCTTCGCACGAAGCTGCGTTGGCTTACTCATCGAACGTGGCTGACATATATCCAAGGCCGTTCCAGAACCATCTCCCTACACCCACACATACACCTACCCAGGACTCGTTCATGAGCGGAAACAACTTCAACAGCAATTACACACCAAACATGGACCACACCATGTCCGCACACATGTCGATGAAGCAAGCGCTCATGGAGCAGAGTGATGACGTACCAGACTACGCACACTCGGCCGGTCAATCAGTATCAAGCTACGGCCACGACTCTCCTGCCACGCCACACACTGCACAGGACGACATCGACTTCAAGATGCCTGCCAATGGTGAGAACCTCTGCAGGATAGACTCCTGGCTTTTCAATCAGTTTTGTACTTACGATGACCCAGACGCCCGCCCCATCCCCAAGTTCGAAAGGACCTACACCGACATTGCTGCCGACACTGGCTTCTATGAACCCAGTGCCTCCGCCCAGGCGGTGTCTTCCAAGCCAGCTCAGTCGTCTCTGCTGTCGCCATACCGCAGCAGCGACCAGAACGTTCAGCGTGCGCTCCAGGCAGCACAGTACGCTCGCTCACAGTCGCCAAGCAGCACTGCCTCAAGAAGTGACTCACCCTTCCGCAAGAGCTCACCCTACCGTCAGCCTAGCAACACGTTCAACTCGGCTATGAACACTGCTGTTGCGGCACGTGAGCAGACCCGCCAGGCTGATGCGGCTTACGCTATGAAGTCTCAGATGCAGCCCAGCGACGATTCTGAGCCAAAGACCATCTCGCCCAAGGACGCTCTATTAGACTACCGGGAATCCGATGAAGAATCCAAAGTTCCATTGTTCCCGGACAGTGGCGCTAGCGAGTACGACAGCCAATACACCGGTGGCGACCAATATAGGACTGCCACCCAATCCAGCTTTGACACTCCATCATCACAGTCTTACCGTCGCGACAGCTGGGTACCGCAACAGTTCTCACCAAACTTCTCCACTGCCTCCGCGCCATCATTACCACAGTCATCGAGCTTCACCTTCGCCACTCCATCAATACAGAACATGCACAGCATGCCTATGAACGCGCCATCTCAGTATCGATCAACACCCAACACTATGTCGTCGGGCGTCGACCAGACACCTGAGTTCCCTGCCCACCTGACTTCAATGGAGTCAAGTGCGAGCGAAGCTGAGCCACCAAGCGGCAGCCAGAACAGCGTCCTTTCAGACCGCTACATTACGAAGCCAACATCGACGGGCGCCGAGTCTGGTACCTACTCATGCACGTATCATGGCTGCTCCCAGCGTTTCGAGACCCCACAAAAGCTTCAGAAGCATAAGCGTGAGGGTCATCGAAGTGCCAATCTCAGCCAGGCTATGACGTCGGCGGCTATTTTGGAGCGCAATTCGCAGGCGGGACCCCACAAGTGTGAGCGCATCAACCCCACGACCGGCAAGCCCTGCAACACTGTATTTTCGCGGCCCTATGACCTCACCCGTCACGAGGACACGATACACAATGCGCGCAAGCAAAAGGTCCGCTGCGCACTCTGTGTCGAGGAGAAGACTTTTTCGCGCAACGACGCATTGACACGCCACATGCGTGTCGTGCATCCTGAGGTCGACTTCCCCGGAAAGCACCGCAGGCGCGGAGGTAACCACGACTGAGCATGACCCGATGGCATGCGCGGTCGTGTTCCGCGGAGGCCGTGCCTCTGCCGCGCTATCGCGCACCTTCCAGAACAGCCGCGACCGCTCCATGGCATGCACCTGATCATTTCACGGATCCAATGCGACGCACCAAGGCTCTCTCTGAGACCGGGCGATGTTGATACCCATGCCTCTTGCATTTGCGGTCACGCGGTCACATTGCATTCAGTTGTCGCTGGTCCGAACTGAATCACCCGGCGTTCTGGTCACTTTTCTTCGACTGTACAGTATTCTGCTTTGATTTTCCAGCACATTCCTACGGACATGACTTTGAGCGACGAACCAGCGGGCGCATGGTACGATGATTTGACGAAAGAGATGGCTTCTGTATGTGCAACAAAAAAGCGATGATTTCCATAGACGACTTCGCTGGCTCCAGTGGGCTTTGGTTTCGCCTGCGATTAGATTTCCTTACCTATTTTTCGATACACCCGGCTCCACTGGGAGCATTATTAATTTGTACAACACTTCACTATTCCTCAAATTGCGAAAGCCAGTTCTTCGTCTTTACATCGTACTCAGCAAAGTTTTGACCGCAAGAGGAGGGAAAACATAAGCGGATGTACTATATGCATTGTAGCTAGCAATGATACCCCAGATTAATATCAGCATCAAGTAATGTTCTATCTCAGCACCCAATATCTCTAGTGAACCCTCGTTCTTCTGTGACAGTTCTCCGGTGGTCGCCATGGCGTACATGTTCAGCTACCACCTGTTCGACATGCTATACCCAGCAACGGCGACGCCGGTCTCAACCAGAATGCCTCCCTCTGCCATCGCCCTACTGCAAGCATCGTACGTCTTCTTACACCACAGCATGAACAACACAAGCTGACACCACATCAAAGTCTCACACTCTAGATTCAGCCTCTCGACCCATGTGCAACCTCATCGGCTCTGCATACCACAAACAAAAGCACAAACGTCTGCACGGGCAGCAAGTAGTTCCCACACCCAGCACCTGTCAGCACCTTAATCCCCTGCCACCACCACCACATCAACCAAGCATACATCCGACTTTGTTCCCGCGGAGACGACTCTCCGACGCACAAATGCGGGCTGAAAAGCACATAAGCGGCAGAATGGGAGCGCCGTGAGATCTGGACCCAGTAGATGCCGGTGCCGCCCGCGTCGGCCACGCTAGTGGGGTGCAGTAACACAGCCCTCAGCCTCTTTCTTATTTTTTTTCGAGTATGCATCTCCTATCAAACCTCGAGGAAGAATTTTCGGGTCATTCTAGAAGCCTTTTTTTTTTTCTTGGGTAGATGTGTTGCACAAGGGTTTGGCATTTCAAAGCAAAAGAACAGTGGGAAATCGGACCGAGGCTCGGGGATAGCGATGAATGCGTCTATCTACAATGTAGTATGTGCGTGTGCCTAGATAGACTCCCTGCTCCTACTCCTGTGTAAGGATGCAAGTAAATGCATCTATGATTCCATGGTTGCGTGACAAACACCACCCGTCACCGTCAAAAGAAGAAGGAAAATGTGGATAGAGCAAGTATTACAATGGTATCATAACCCGGCACCAACCATTTTCAACCCCCCGGCAGAACCAAATTCATCAGCTTGCATATACAGACCACATGGTTTGACATGAATATGAATGGCGTGGTTCCCATTCCGCTCGGTACACTTTCACCGAGCAGACGTGACCCAACGCATGTGGGCTCCACCGAAAAACGTCGGATCTGGGCCTTGCCTACCACGAACGACGAGGTGCAGTGCGTCCGGGCCCTGGCTTGTGGGTGCGTGTGTACCACAGTGATTCGACCTATCGGAATTGCGCTGGAGAGTTATGTGGGACGCACGTTAGGTGGGTTTTTGGCGTGCTGGGGGAACCGGCCGATGCGGTTGGACTGCAGGACGTCATGTAGGGCTGAGAAGGGCGCTGGGGATCGCGCAGAAGCGATTTGGTAGTAGTATCGATAGTAACGGCTTTGACGGCAGGAACGAACTTCACACATTTCTCGCTGGTGCGGCTGTAGAGTTCGCATGGCTTGTTTCAGAAAACCAAGGTCCGCGTTATTGTTGGCGCTGGCGTTGGTGTTGGTTGGACCTGACAAGATACTACGGCTGTTGACGTCGTCTGTGTGTTTAGAGTTCTGGGGAAATCCGGTTCGGGACCTGTCGACGTCAGAGTGTCAGATTGCGAGGAACATCTTTGACGGAAATGGTTCATGCGTCCAAGACGTGTGTGCCGCGGAAGGTTTTACTCGCCCTGGAAAGAAGGTGTCATTGTTCTTACGCTAGAAGATCGTCACGTCCATGGGTACGTGGGTTAAGCGGTGACCCTTTCAAGGTTTGTTCGGCTCCACGCGCATGACGCCCGTTATCCACTGTTTGGCTTTGACTACATCCGATGTTCCGCGGAGCGTGCTGCATGTTGTTTTGGGTAAATATCTCGTTGCGAGTTTATGCGCGAGGGTTATATGGTGTGAAGTCATCAGAAGGGAATTGTCGCGTCAGTGTTTACTGATCATGATGCGCTGCTTGTTCATGGTCGTGAACGATTGGTTCGAGTTGTTATTATGGATGCGCGCGTGCATGATTATTCCGCGGTGCAGATATATTGCACGCATGTAGTTTGACGGAAGACGTTTGGAGATCTGAATGAGTGATACTGGACTGCGATTGTGAGCCTTCTGAGCTGTAACAAATGTGCCGCCTATTCCCAGATATTCGGGTCTTTAACAACGAGGTCATTAAGGCTTTATGCAAGATGCGCTTTCGTTTGGATGGGCTATAGCATGGGGGTCACTTACTGGAAAGCTAGTCCTACATATTGCTACTTCGCGGTTTCAAGATGGTCGTTAAAATACATACTGAGTAACCCATCATTGACATATGCAAAGGCTGAGTATATACCATACAAGGTGTGTGCTACTGACTTATCGTCTACAGGTCCAACAGCGGTATCTCAGGATCGATAACATGAATATACATCTACTGGTTTCCCAGAAGTGATTTCCCAGAATGACATTGCAGGTTAAGCATAACCACATTGCAGCACACATGAGAGCGAGCTCTTATCCGCGTCTTCTAGATATGGGGTAACAGGTCCGACCATTCCACACTACGGTAGCTACTTGCAGGAAGTGCTCTGAGTCCAGCAAATCCTTCCACAATGATGAAGGTTCTTGCGAGACCGTATGCTCCCATATGAAACATAACGAGCAGGTACTGAAAGAAAGGGTGTATCTGATCGATAAACTCTGTCACAGTGTTGGTTTGCGGGATACCTGCCCACCGACAGAGGTTAGGTAATTGCCAAGTGATCAAGAGCCAAAGAATGCCAAAGGTAAAGCCAACTGCGAAGAGAACAACGCATGCACCACGCGAGAGATCTCGTTCTAACACTGTGGGGAAGTGGAAATTCCACGCAAAAAAGTGTATGCCAATGAATGAGAATGCCAAAGCGGAAGCAACCAGCCCTTCGGATATGACAACCTTTCCAGGATTCATACGTGCGGTATTCTTGAATCGTGTTATTGGTACATGCTTGGCATCGTTACCGAGGCGGAACAAGTGCTCAAATCCCCACACGATGGGATCGAGTACCTGCAAGGGATCTGAAGGTGGGTTGGCAAAATCGAGCGGAGTTTGCTTGAAAGGCTGCTTGGCTGCAACTGGGTCCGCCAACGCCAATACATCAGCCAGTCTAAGTGATCCCACGAGTTTCAGCGTCACCGGCGTATCAACATCCAATGGCTTGTGAAACAAATAGTAATGTGTTGGGAACGTGCAAAGCACGATGGCAACCACATCTAGCTCGAGCATGGAAATCGCCAAGTGTTGCGCGGCGCGACCAATGCATTGAAGGGCGAACCAGAGTACCTGGACTGAGGTAAGGATACGGACAAAAGCGTCGGCCTTGTTCTTGTCCTTGATGGCGTCGCGGTGAATCTTGGGAAAATCGACGAAGCCGTGCTCTACGAGATAATGAACCTGATGGGCGTTGACAGGGAAGCGGGGGTAATCTGGAGGTTCCAGTACGAAACCCCCCATGTCGGCAAAAAAGGCGTGCGTTATAGTCCAGTCAGTGTATCCGGACTTATGGAACCTGGATACCGAATGCCGTGCGGACAGGTATTGAACCTGGGCGAATGATGCAAGGAGCTCCGGGAAGAAGATGGTAAAGGCAACCCACGGTAGCTTCGTTGACATGTAAGATCGGAAGTCGTTCTTGTCGGGTACGTTCAGGAATAAAGAAGACCAGCTGCACAAGAAGACAGTGACAATGCAGCTCCAAAGGATGTCGATTGTTCCGCGTTCATTTGGCGAGCTAACCCAGCCGTGAACCAGTGTCGTGTTCATCTGGTATAGCGACGTATGTGCGGATCTCTGAATCTCGGGGTAATATGAATGATGGGATCTATTGCCCGAGAAGCCTCTTTATGGCCCTCGTTATCATCAACGTCGGGCTAATTTTAGAAGATGGTGCCCTCTTAACAGCATTCACTTGGCAGAGGTGTCTCATTGTTGTACAGATCGGTCAAACCGCAGTACCTCTGCATCATGAACCATCCGATATGGCTAAGTGAACTGATCTGAGTCTGGGATTGACAGCCACGCGATAATCACCAGATTGTCTGATTAGTTGCGATGAGGAAGGAGCAAGGCTGAACCGCGCGAGGCTGTGTGGGGGCGGAGATGGCGGGACTTGCAGCAGATGAAGGGCGGAAAGATGAGCTAGGAGAGGCCGCTCTGCCAATACCTTAGGGGCTGGATCGCTGGTAGTGGTTAGCTTTGGTATTGGTAACATGCTGGGGTTGGATCAGACAGTTAGCATGCTGATACCTTACCGCAGAGGATGTTTCGGTTCTAGACATAATGACAGTATGTCCACATCGGTACTGAACAATTTGCCGGGCGTGATTCATCTGTCGGTGCTGAATGGGTTGCCGGTATGGTAAACACATGAGCGGTGGGAAGTGACGGGGCTGATACATTTGACGAGCGTGGACGTTTGACGGGGTTGAATAGCTTGCCGGTATGATAAACATGCCGCGCGTGAATGTGTCGTTGCTGAATAGGCTGTCAGTATAGCAAGTTGCCGCGCGTGATTAATCTGCCGGTGCTGAATGGTTTGCCGGTATGGTAAAGATGCCGGGCGTGAACACTTATCGATATGGCAAGATCTATCGGTATGGTAAACTGCCGGGCGTGAATCCTTTGCCGATATGGTAAACATGCCGCTGCTGAATACTTTGCCGGGCGTGAAGTTTGTCGTGCGTGAATGGACTGCCGCGCGTGAATCACTATCGATAGCGAGCAATTTTGTCGGTATGGAAAGAACTGTCGGGCGTGAATCATTCGCCGGTATGGTAATCTCACCGTGCTGAATCAACTTAGCATTTCCAACTGCAAATGCTTGAATCAAGCATCCGCTCAGATACATGACCAGGAGACAAAGACGCAATCGCCCATCTCTGGAGATACACTTAGCGTAATGCCATGCTTCATTCAAATACACAAACGCTAACCCACCAACCCGTTATCGCAACGCCATATCCTACAGCTCACATACAAGAGCGTTTCACCGAGCCAGGTAAAGTATGCCTTTTGTTCCCTATCTCCTGTCATATCATCGCGCCCGCCGGAAACGAAACAAGTTGTGTGTAATCGACGGCGATTCTAGGTAAGCTTCTGCTTGATGAAGAAAGCTCGCAAATGCGATAGTTGCCAGACGCATGTCACACCCAGAATAACGAGTTGGATGAGTGTCCAGCGGACGACGCGCGAGTTGGTGTGTTCTGACTGGTCGCGGAATTCGGCCTCGCGTTCCTGCAACAGATGTTAGCCGGTGTCTTCCTATTGTTTTCCCAGGGATGAGTAGACGCCAAACATACTCTCTGGAAGACCTGTTCCCTCCTGACGTCCTGCAACCTCGAGTTCAAGTCCTTGACTTTCTGCACCAGCGTCTGGACCTTGTCCTTGTCCGTGCTCTCGATCCTGCTTGTCTCTCCGATCGCCATGTCCAGCGTAAACTTGACGGTGCCGTGTACGCCTGAGCTCAACCAGCCACCGCCGCTGCTGGGTACGTTTTGGGGTGTCACACAGATCCTATGTTGACCGCTGTCGGCAGCGCTGAAGGTGAAGCGTCCGTTCGAGCTACCCCGTTGGGCAACGATGCGGTGGTTGTTGTCGAAGGTCTCCTCCACGGTGACGAAGACGCCGACGTCGGGCTTGGTTTGGTAGGTCTTGGTTGCGTCGTCCCATGCTTCGGCGTGGTAGTGGCCTGGTGTTTGTTAGCTGTGGGTTCTTCCGCTGACTCTACGACATTTCTGGGCCGAGAGACTCAATCATGAGGAAGTGCCGTACCAACAACCAGCGTGTCCTTGGGCAATTCCTCGTAGAAGCACTTCTGGACCGCTCCGTCCATGAAGAAGTGCAGCGCTTGTGACGGCACCGCCAGCGCGGCTGCGAGCAGTAGTGTTGGTTTCCACATATCTGCGATCTTAATCCCGCGCGGAGGACTGATTGTAGCGCGGAGTTTGAGTGGTGGGTGAGCTGGTCACTTGGGAATCTTGAAGCTCGTATGCTCGAGATCGCGAAACTCCAGGTGTACGTTCCGAAAGCGGTTAGACCTCCGACACGTGCCCGCGTCGCTCCCTCCCGGGCGTCTTGAGACCACAGCACCGCGACTTCACTCGCACTTCTCTACTATCCTCCCTTTCGATGCTCAAGGCTTCAACAGAGCTGTCAGGTTATGGCGATACATGAATTCCGGAAACTCGACACGACAACTGTAAAGGGCTGCTGCAGTTGCTGATGGCAGACCAAAGTACTGTCGTCGTAGTGTGAAGAGAATATAGTATGCTACTACATACGGGTGGATAGATGCGAGCTCACGTAAGACTATCTTCATTCATCCAGTCGAGTCAGCGGCGATTATACCAGGAGTCGACTCAATCCAGACACCTCCGAGGCCAACCCCGCAACTACAACATATAACCTAGGTAAACAGATCGTGTTCATATTTCCAGCCGCATCGACCAAACTCTTCTCTTTTCGCAGTATTTCAATCTCTTTATTCAAAGACACACAACCTGATCTCTTTGAATCCGCTATCTTCACAAAATTGCACCTATCACCAAGCACACCGACAACCCTCTATCAAGCCGTGGATCAGCCAAATCCACATCAACCCAACAATGACACTCTTCACGCCCTCCCCCTCCGCCCTCAAAACCCTCTCCAGCACCCCAAAAACCATCCTCATAACCGGCGGCTCCTCCGGCATCGGTCTCGCAACAGCAACCCTCCTCTCATCCCTAAACCCATCCCACAACCTCATCCTGCTCGATCTCCAACCCCCACCTCCATCTTTCAAGCACGCACCTTCCAACCTGCTCACCCACACCTGCGACATCACCTCCTGGCCCTCGCAACGCGCCGGTTTCGCCGCAGGCTACGCGCGCTTCGGCCGTATAGACTGTGTATTCGTCAACGCAGGGATAGCCGAACACGGCGACCAATTCTTCAACGACGCGCTGGATGATGATGGTGAACTGGCGGAACCAGATCACCGAACGCTGACGCTGGACATGAATGCCGCGGCTGCGACGACTAAACTCGCCATCTACTACCTGCGGAAAAACGGGGCCGAGGGCGGTTCAATTGTGTTGACAGCGAGTTTAGCAGGGTATCTAGCTTCAGCGGGTGCGCCGTTGTATTCTGCGGCGAAACATGGGGTGGTGGGCTTGATGAGGGCGTTGAAGCAGGAATGTGCGAAACTGGGGCTTAGCATTTCGGTTGTTGCGCCTGCGATTACGGTTACGCCTATCTTGATGGCGAATAACACTAAGTTGGCTATGCAGCCTGATGTGTACGCGAAGCAGATGGCGGAGGCAGGTGTGCCGATCAATCGACCTGAAGCCGTGGCGCTGGCGGTGTGTTGGTTGTTCAATGAGGGCAGCAAGGCGAATGGTGCGGGCGTGTTTATCCAAGCGGATCGATTTGCGGATTTGGAGACAGGTTTGGCGAAGAGCAGGCAGGCGTGGATGGGTAAAGAGATGTTGGATCTGTTTCGTGGGGGAAGAAACGCGCCGTTGTTTGCAAGGCTGGAACAGGATGAGGTCAAGGCGAAGATATAAGTAGTTCCATGAGGTAGGATGTTGTACATTCTGCGTTATGCAGTGGATAGTGATGCATCGTAGCTAACAATACCAACAGGGTTGTCCCAGTCCCTATCCATATCCATATCCGTATCATATTCCCAATGACGAATGTTTTCCCATCTTCTTGCCAATCCAATCCCAACGCCATCGCTATGCTATCAAAAGCAGAAGTCAAAAGTAGAAACCACCCTCCTAGTCAAAGCCAGCCCCATCATTTCCTCGCCCGTTTGCTACTGACTTCACTGCCTTGAGAAAAGACACTGGCGCTCCTCTTATGGCTTTGTCCCGTCGCGCCTTGACTGGTCGCTCGAGACTGCTGTTTACTACTCTCATCTTCGCCTTCTGCATCCACGTCGCCGTCGTCTTCTTCGCCGTTGAAACCACCCTCGTCTTCCTCGCCTTCGGCGTCATCGTCGGGGTTATCAGCGTCGTTGTTGTCTTCGCGGTCGTCCCTATCGGCTTCGGCATCATCGCCGTAGTTTTTATTGACGTCATCTTCGTCTTCCTCGTCGTCGTTCTCCCCGTCGGCGTCGTCCTCCCCACCGGGTGTTTGTTGTTGTGAATCGGGGACTTCTTGTTTTGGTTGTCCTTCGCCCCCTTCACCGCCGCCGTCTCGTCGAGCCTTCATGGCTAGCAAGACCTTGCACTCCCCCTCCTCCTTCTCTCGGACCTTACGCACGTCGAGTAGCTTGCTAACTTTTGATACAAGATTCTCAAAGACTTCGCCGACCTTACTCGTTGGTATGCTGACAATGTCACTAACGCCCAACGCCGCGAGCATTTGGCCGATCTTTTGAGTCTGGACGTTGCTCTTTGCTTGTCGCATCTTGAGCAGCTTGTCCGAGCCAAATGTGACACCCGAGGTAAGTCTCTCGTGTGTTGAGACGTTGAAACGGTGTTCTTGATGTGGAGAGAGGTGCTTGACAGGCGTCTGGGCGGTAGGTTGTTGATTCTGTGCCATACTTTGCCGCCGATTCGCTGCCGAGAGCTGTTGCTGTGCTGAACCAGGAGTGTGTACCATGTCGTTGGCGGAGAGGCTGAGTCTACCAGGTCCTGTTCCACCGCCAGATGCACGTTTCTTACTACGATCCTGCTGGAACAGCTGTTGGAAGAGGGCCTGGAGGGCTTGTGATGATGTAAAGGCTTGTAGACCTGCGGAGACGGCCTGGTTCTGCGGCGGTGCGTCCAGTCGTGCCCGGAGTTCTTCGCGCTCGGCATCGAGCCGGTTGGCTGCCATGTTGATGCGCTGGAGCTCGGTGAGCAAGAACTCCTCCTCTTTGACCTCGTCCATTGTGCGATTGATGAGCGCCGTGGCCAACATCTTTCGATTCCGCTCCATAACCGGATCGAACTTTGTGAGCATCTCGTACAGGCTGTATTGGTCGGCGTCCATGGAGACTTCTGGTATGCGCTGCTTCATGAGCTTGGCTGAGATATCGTAGAAGCGTGCTTTCAGGTCCTCTAGGGACCGCTTCTTCGACGGCGCAAAGGGCATGGTGGCTAGCGCTTGGTCCTCGCTGTTTGCAGGCTCCGACGGGCGTGGTTGTGTCGGCTTGTAGTCGTAGCGATCCCATATCACAGGCCAGCGATACGAGTAGTCTTTTACTACTTCGAATAAGTAGTCTGTCTCCTCGCGACTCCAGTCATCGCTCCGCAGGTACTGGTTGTATTCCTCGTCTGTGAAGCCCGGCATGTCTACTTTGATGTCGTACTTGGCGTAGTCGGCGCACGTCTCGATGTAGTTGTCGGCGGTGTCGCTTTCCTGCATCGGCGCGTCGTCGGCTTCCTGCACGGGTGGTGCGGTCGTGGGCTTGCGCCGCCAGTGCTTGAGGACGAGGCCATCGTTGCGCGCCGGATTCATAAACGGCTGCTGTACCCTAGAAGCGCGAATTAGCCAATCCTCCGCAGTGCGTCGCGCGTACATACCATCTCTTTGCAGGGCCAGTGCTCTGTCTCTTCGCCCGATACGCCTTCTTCTCCTCGTAGACGGCGACAGGCGGCGGCCGTTCGCCATATAGCGCAGCAACCTCGCGCGCAACACCCTCTGGTCGAATGAGAGTCAGTCTCGACCTTTTGACGATTTCCCAAGGAAAGACGTAAGGACTGCCAAACGTACGTATCTTCCTGCTCCCTCCTGCAGGCTTTGAGCGCTTCTGAGTCTGCGCTGCCACGGCTGCTGGACCTACTGCCTTTGGCGCATCACCGCCGGCAGCAGGCAGCCCGAGCATATCGCGCACATCGCGTCCCGACGCCATCGCAACTTTCGCAAGGCGCCGCTGATCGATGAGCCGGTAGTAGGAGAGGGTGCGGGTGATGGAATCGCAGGGCCCCGGGGTGGACGAGCTTAATTTCGTTGTTGGGAAGTCGCGTTGGACCCTGCGCGGGTACCTCACGTGTGGGAATATTGGAATGGCGAAGGAAAAAGTCAAAATGGGCGGATACCTAAATCCAAAAGAATGCGCAAGGGTTTTCGAAGAGATTCAAGTGCAAATCAAGCTACAAGTCAAGTTCTTGCGCTATAGGCACGCACAGCTATGGAGTCATGGATTGCCGCTGTTACGGCACCTTCCAATCGCATACGCAAAGAGGCCATAGCTCCCTGGTGCCCTCCCATGACCGACCCCTCAGATCGCCGCTACCAAGAATGCCAGACAGACATCCATGGATCATCAATGATGTTGACCATGGCAAACGTCACTACTGGACAAAGATGAAATTGGTGTAGTAAGTGCGTCTATTCGCCCGACTACTCTACCTGAACTAGAACGAGATCCGTCTGTCGCCCTGTACACGCGATGGGCCGTCAGAAGAGACTCCTTTACATGCTATATTTTCCTCGTGCCAAAATGAATAATGAAAATGAGATGTCACAAGTGCGAGCCTCCCCAAGCACACCGCAACGCCGCAAGCGCCCAATGGAAAATCGCTCCCACACTACTGCCAGCTGATGTAGTCTCGCAACGCGGGAGCGCAGAGGTGAAGGAGAGGGTGGTGATGATGTTTTTCGGCGCTGATGAGGAATCCAGGCTGGTGTGGGAGGCGGTTCGGTCGCTCGGTCGTAACTATTACCGTGGAAGGAGATTTTCGATCCCGTCTATCAATCATTACAAGATACCTATACAGGAAGAAAACGTGACCGGGAACACTATCGCTCAAAGAACGGACTCCAGGATGCAACGCAAAGGGAAGGAAACCAAGCTTGGCGACCGCGATTACTACTTGCTGGCGCCGCAGCACAGGGCATTCGCCAGTTTTTGCATGAAGCTGGGCTTTTCGGGACTCTGTCGCGTCGGTTGCGGGTTCGGACTGCTGGCAGGCGCAGCACGGT